TATAATAATATATGAAATACTAATGCTCTGATGGTCATTTTGAAAAATCGTTTCTTAGTGAGCACCTAGAAGCCAAGAGGAACATAGTACCTAATTTCAAGTTTGTAGGCTTTACTGTTCTGGAGATTTTGTGATGATGCATCAGTGGTATTTCACTTTTATATATATAGATTATAAACTATAAAATAGTTAATTTCTTAGCATATGGACATACTATCAAATACTTCCAAATGTTTGTACATAGATATGTGTAGAAATGTGTCATTATGAAAACTAAATTCATCTTAGCCAAGATACAAAGTCTCAATAACAGATATCCTGCCTATCAAATTCCTCATCTCTTAGAAGGTAGACTCTCTTCCACCTGATCACTCTTTTCTTATAATTTGCTTCCATATAAAAGGAGCAAGTAAGCTGTGTTATCATAATGAATTGCATAAATAATTCCCCAAACAGATTAAAACTAACTATAACTTGAAAAGGGTGGGTGGGTGTGTAGGTAGGTAGGGGTGTGAAGTAATTATATTTTATTAGCTAGCAAAACACAATTTTTTGCTTTCAAAGGATAATTCTATGTAAATCATCTTAATTAGAAATGTCAGAGAAACCTGTGAAGATCATAGCTAGCAACTAATTTCCTATGTATGGGTTATAATTTAAACCACATGGATCTCTCACTGTGTGGCAATATGCTGGCTATGAAATAAAGTTGGGAGTGTTGTCTGAGGTTATTACTATGTAAATGTGTGATGATTTCAGGCCACTGCTGACTTGCTTAGTGATTAAAGAGAATTCTGAGGTCTCCAAAGATTGTGTTCTTTGGAAGGGCCTGGAGCAAAAAAAAAAAAAAAATTAAGGTACTGAAAGGTGTTTGAACTTTAAAGGTCATGGTTTTCTTTACCATTTTTAATTTTCCAGCACTGTTTATAAGAAGGGTCTCTCCACCCCTTGCTCTAATGATCTCTGCATAAAGGAAATGTAAAAGAAAATCACCATAATATATTTGTCAAGGAATACAGAGATTATGTAATTAAAACCTTAATTTCTGACCTCAGCTTTAGATTCAAGAAGAAAAGTGTGAGTTGAAAGAAATGTGTATATTAGATTTTATGTTTTTATATTAAAGCAAGCAATATAAATTACTGTTAGGAGAATAGGAGATTGAATAATCTGTGGTTTGACCTCATAGTTCCTGTCTTTATTTGAAGACATATCCAAAGATCAAAATATTATACTCAAAGTTAATAACTTGGATTACTGTTAGTAAAATTATTTTGACAGATAGTATTTGCATTCATTTTACCTACTCTCTGCTCAAATATTCTTAGCAGATTAAAATGCCACTACTTTTAAGAAAATAAAACTTGATTGAATTTTATATATCATATTTTATGCTGCCTAAAATAATTTGCTATTCTCACTATTAATGCCCTTTATCCCTAACTTATACGTACACACACCTCTACACCCATATTTCTTTATTGGTAAGAGTAGTTGACTGGGTCTCTTTGTAATATAAGAATGACTTTGGACTTCAATTTTAAGGAATGCTGAGATTGTCACAAAAAAGTCCCCAGCTTCTATGTAAAGGCAAGTGCTACATAGAGGGAAACAACCTCTAGGAGACAACCCTTCCCAAACAACCCTCTTTGCTTCATTTTACAGCATCTAGCCATCTGCCAACGAAAGGCAGATTAAAGCCAGCCAAATTCAATTTCTACTCACTGCTGCCACAGTTCGACATCTGGGGCTAAAGTGTCCCCAACAAAGCGAACATGACAGCCACATTGCTTTTTTGTCACATCCAGTAGCATGTTGATCTTCTGAAAGTCTCATAAAAATTTATTGATGTCTCCCATATAGCTGTGATTGGGAAGAAAAGTGTGTGCATGCGTATGTGTGTATTAATGCTTCTGGAATAGATTTGATTTGATATGTCGTGTTCTATTGTCAGCATCTGTTTAGCAGGGCTTTTTAATACTTTCTGGCTGCCGATCAGTCATCCCTAGCTTAGGATGCTGACTTGCATACAAATTTTATTATTAAGTACAATTCTTTCTCTCCACCATCTCCTTCTACTCCCCTAAACACCACCCCCAACCCATCCATCACCCACCCTCCCCGAGAAACAGAGGGGGATCTCCAGCTGTGGGAGTCATGCAGTGCAAAGCATCAGCCTCAGTAACATATATCAGAGCCCTAGTTTTGCCTGTTGCAGGTGCTTTGTATTGGTAAATCGAATCATGGGGAAATCATTTATTTCCTAATGCTGTTTGTGGCATGTTAGTGAGAGAATTTACATGAGAGAAATTACTTTAATAACCAAAAAAATTACAGTGTGGGGTCTCCCCGCCCCATCGCCTTTGATGTGTAATTGTTTCAAATTTAACCTGTCTCGAGTGAGGTTGAAAGGCATTATTAAATGTGAAGCATCTTGCTCCGGGGAAGGAAGGGAGAAAGTGGGAGGATCACCATGTTGTGAGCCTCCTTTCAGCCATTAAATAGAAATGGAGTGAAATTAACAAATCAGCCAACCAAATAGAGAAGGAATTCCTATAGTTTGCAGAAGAGTCTATCTAATTTTAGTTATTTTCTACTCATCCACCCTGTGTCATCTTTTCTTCAGACCCAGCCCTGAAGGGTGTCTATGTTTGTCGTCCCTGAGACTAAGATTGTATATCTATTCTATTCGAAAGCTGTATTACGAAGTGGCCCAAGTGTTTTGTGAATGCCTAGAACTCCTGAGGAATGTAATTTACTTAGATTTAGAAATTTAGCTGAACATCAAATTGATTCTGAATGGAAAGCACTGATGGCCAACTACAGGGTAACAGGGCAGTTCATATGAATAACCCAGCCCATGGAAGGTACCATTTGTTAATGTGTATGGGCAATTATGTGGAAACAAGATTGGCTCAAACGGGAGAATGAATACTATAGCTTTTTAGTAGTATCTGTACTCCAGCATCAGTAGTCACAGGAAGTAACATATTGTTTACTGCCCATAGTATAGCAAGTTTCTATAATTTTTATAGAAATGCACTAAATGAGAGCCACAGTGGTGTAGGAGGCCTTGAATTCTAATCGTCCCAATAACTATGAAATCCAGAATTTGGGCCGGTCTTGTTCTTTCAGCCAATCTGACTTCACAGGGATGTTATTTGGAAGACAGGAAGCAGGAGCATTATTTAAGCTACCTTGGGTTGTATAGTACAAACTAAAAGCAGGATTAATAATAATAGTAATAGGTGCCTTGGGTGCAATCCCAAAACAACTGGAACACCATTTGGACACCATCAGCATGGAAAAAATCACCATCTGTCAACTGCAAAAAGCAGCTTTACTTGGAACAGCTTACACCCTGCGGTGATACCTTTAACACCGTCAAACACCAACATCTGCCTATCCCAGATCCTTGGGAAAGACTTGATAGGTGGATAAAAATGCCAAATCCAGGCTGGCTGACAATGCAACCAACCATAGTAATAATAAACATACAATATACAGTATGTTGATGCTTTACTAGAATATCTATAATCTAGAAATACAGTCTCTCACATACTGTATTGAACATTGATTTCATCCAGGTTTCTGTTCTCATAGCAGTCTGAAGAGCCAACCAAATAAAAAATGCCTTTATTTTTTCTCTTTGCTTTGTCTCAGGCCTACCTAGCTAAACTGGAAGGCATTCTATAGTACCCATTTAATTTAAGCATTGCCTGAATAAACATGCAGCCAGAGCATGCTGTTTTTCATTAATCTATATGCTAACTGACATTTTATGCTAACAGACGTTTTTGGACATTACCTCAAGAGCTGCTCCCCAGATCAATGTCCTGTGTAATACAAAACTGAAATGCTGTAGAAACTTTCTGTAGTTTGGTGGCTGAAGTTTCACCTTGGATAATAGAAATTTCAATGTCAATCCCTGTTCAACTTCTATGTTAATAAATCTCTTTCCTCAGTTTTTTATGAAGGTTATATTATATAAGATTAGAAATAGCAACTATGCTACCCAGGGTTTTGAGGAGGAAAAATGAAATGCACATTTAATTATTGGTAGTCCCTGACTTACAACAATTCAGTTAGTGACTGTTCAAAGTTAAACACTGAAAAGAGTGACTTGTGACCATTTTTCATATTGACGACCATTGCAGTATACCCAGGACATGTGATCAAAATTCAGATGCTTGGCAATCGATTCATATTTATCATTTCTATTTTATTTATTTATTTGATTTGTCAATCACTTACAAGATAATAGGTATAAGTATAAACACGAGTAAGAATACAGGAAATAGGTACAAATAAATGGGGACAATAGGACAGGGATGGTAGGCATGATGGTGCACTTATGCATGCCCCTTACAGACCTCGTAGAAATGGGGTGAGGTCAATAGTGGATAGTTTAAGATTAAAGGAGTGGGGGGTTAGAGGATGTAACAACAGAGTCAGGTAGTGCATTCCAGGCATTGACCACTCTGTTGCTGAAGTCGTACTTTCTGCAATCAAGTTTGAAGTGGTTTACATTGAGTTTGTATACGTTGTATATAATGTATATATATATATATAATATAATCTATATAATGGTTGCAATGTCCCGGGATCCTGTCAGGGACCTTCTGAACAAGCTTAGTCAATGGGGAAGTCAGATTCACTTAATAACTGTGTTACTAATTTACCAACTGCAGTGATTCACTTAACAACTGTGACAAGAAAGATCATAAAATAGGGCAAAACTCACATAATTGTTTCACTGAGCAACAGTAATTTTGGGTTCAATTGTGATCGTAAGTTGAGGGCTACCTTTAATACAAAAAGGAAGTAATATGGTAGGAGTGTACTGCCGTTGTGATCTTTTAGCTTCCAGAAGTTTACTCTGACGGATATGAATTTTATGGAGAATGTTTTACAAATAAGCAAGAAGGACTTTGAAATCCTCCTTTGGGAAGAGGTTACCCTACATCTATTTATGTTCTCTTCTTTTTCTATTTTGATAGTAAGAATGCTTTACTGAAGGATGTCATGGCCCCAGGAACTCCCAAGGTAAGTGAGCTAAATCTGGTAATCTTTTGTTAATTTCCATTATCTTTTCTGTTTCTACAAACATTACATTGTTTATCTGATCTAATTTCTCCTTTCATCTTTCTTCTGCTTTTCTCTATGGTACACAGAACCTCCCTCCCTCCCTCCCTGTGTGCCTAACAATAGTTGGGCATAGGATGCTTGTTAAAGCCATCACTGTCTTTATGCATACAGATCCCTCAGGATAGTATCTTGGTGCATAGTGAGGATATTTAGAAAATGGGCAGAATGATTATTCTAGAATAGTTCTAATATAATTGGTATTAACCTCTAAACACTGTACCTTCATTTTGAATGTTTGGAAAACTGATGATGCCAGCATCCCTGCCTGTTGTGTTACCAACTATTCATATATTGGATCATAGAGATGATGTTACAGTTAGTGCAGGGTTAAACTATATCGAGTTACAGTGTTAGGATGCTGACCATATTTTCTTGCAAAAGTGTGCTTCGTGCAATTGAGAGTCATGGTGTCACATTTTATCATAAGCTTCTAGTGTTATGTGTATTATGTTCTATATTATAATGTTTTAGCACTGCTCTAGCAGATTAAGATCCATGATTATTAGTAATAGCAAACGCAACCATGAAAATGCAGAATGCAAGAAAAAGTTTCAGTTACAAATCAGGAATCTTCAGACTTGCGTTTGAGATTTTAAAATGTAGAAAACAAAAGAACAGCATGAGAAAAAGCTCGTCTCATACTTTCTGTTTATGCTCATTGCTGGCTTGTGATATCTCTTCAAATACCAAGCCTGAAAAAGAATTAAATCAGCATATTAACTGTTTGGAGGTAAATATTTGTGACAGTTACTAGATAACCAATAAAAATCGTTTTCTCCTAGCAGGGATGAATCTTAGAAGCTTCAAACAACAAAGAATCTAATTTGTTTTGAAGGAGGGGATTAAAGCAGAATAGTTGAAGGGTCCTATGTAACCAAAATTACACATCTGCTGGGACCACATATATTCTCTTCTTCTGTGCATCCTCTGTCCTGAAAGAATATTTAGAAGGATCTTTTGGGTTTTTTTCAGCCATTTGGCCAAAAATTGTTATTAGTATTTGGATAATGAGCTGGCTTGTAGATACAAAAAAGTATACTTAAAACAAGACCAAACTTACAATGACTATGCTGGCTGATTGTCCTGGGAATTGTTGCTCCTCAGCATCTGGAAAGCTGCAGATTCCCTACTCCTAATGTACAGCTTTAATTTGCTGCATTATTATCCATAAAGAACTGTCACTCGTGACAAGATGTTAGAACCATCCTCCCCTAATATGGGCATTGTGCAGATGCATAAATACACTAATGCATAATTTTCAGAATGCTCAACAACAAACATGCTATAATGAAACTCTGCAAAGTGGATGGAGTATTTTTATACCCCCTTATTTACAATTTCTATTTGCAAATACTTTGTTTTGCTTTCCAAATATATGAGCTAATGAGTACTTGATCACTAAATCTAGATGTCCAGTCAGTTTTAAATTTCTTTTCCCACAGCTCCTTCATAGCTTATTAGACCATTTTTGTCTAATACATTATTGTCTGTGCCCAGTTATTAAAAATCTCACAGGAGAAAGTATTTGATGAAATTGTCTCCAGATATTTTACTATAGACAATGTGCTCTTTTCTTAAATTTCTCTCTAGAGTTTGAGTTGGGAAGGATATAATATAGTATCACGGCCCTTTGGGTGTATAGATGTTAGAAACAGCATTGCTAGGTATTTCTATGATGACCTTGGGGAAATTACAAAATACCTCAGGGCTTCCTATTTAAAAGTAAAAGACAATTAAAAGATGAATAATTAAATCTGCTCGTTGTGGCTGTAAGGAGAAGGAAAAAAACCAAAGAACCGTCTATTGTTTGTGAAATATGTCAGTAGTTAGGGCTAGTATTCATGCCAGAGACGATAGTAAGAATATTGGTTCTATAGAAATAAGCTAAGAATCTGATTTACTAAGTATTTACTAAGTATTCCTAAATATTGTTTGTTGAAAGGAAATTTTATTGAAATAAGTGAATTTACTTCCAGGCAAATAAATTTAAGGTCAAAATGTCTTTCTATTTTTCCATCTTTGTTTAATTTTACAGGAGAAATAAAAACTATCTGGTTCTGATTACTTAACATTAGTTCGAACATAGTTCATAATTCAAGCTTGTGAACTGTGAGATAGATAATAAAGGTGCTATAATCTGAAATCAAGTTCAAGCATGACTTCTCTCCAAACAGTCAGAAATTTATTGAAATGCTTTAAGTTTTAGGAACATTGCCTAAATCTTACAGTAGATTTATATTTTTAAAAAGCTCAAGTTCCATGCAAGTCTGAGAATTAGCTAATGCCAATCAGTGTAGATACTATTAAGTTAAATCAGGAGTGGGGAATGATGGACCTTTTATGACTTGTGGACTTCAACTCCCAGAATTCCTGAATGAACCATACAGGCTCAGGAATTCTAGGAGTTGAAGTCCACAAGTCCTAAGGGGGCCATAGTTCGCCACTTCTGAGTTAAATTGACCAATGCTATGATGCAGATTGGTGTAGATTTGAAGTGGTTTGATGTGATTATGATGTTACAAAAGGGTAAAAAATGAAAGTATCCTTCATCCATGCAAACTGGAATAAGTCTTCTTCTCAGTTCCCTTTGCAGCATAGACTCTAGTGCACTTGTCTCAGGTGTAACACAAAGGGTCAAGTTATCAGAATGTTCTTTCATCACACATTGCTGCATTAAATGCTTTTAAGCCTTCTTAAAGTCAGGTTTGGATACTCAAAAGGGGCCAGTGGGAGTCCAAGTTTACCTGAACTTGAAAAAGTGCCCGAAAATAAAAATGTTTATGTTCACAACTTGGAACTGATACTTCTGGCTCTATGATAAAGCACAACAGAGGCTGCTATCATTCATTGCATTGGGGTTACAGTTCTCAAGTGATAACAGCTATTAACAACACTTTGACTGCTTCCCCACTATGCAGGGGAGGGTAGGAGACAGAAAACATGTCAAGCCATCACCTCCATGTTAAGTGATAAGTACCTATTTAGATGGCAGAGTTAAAGTCCAACGCATCAGGCAGGAAACACTTACCGCAGAGAGAAGGAAAAGGCCAGAGCGAGATACAAAAAGCAGGGTTAGGGTATTTGTTGTGCTGACAGCAGCTGTGATTGATTGTTTAAAAGAAATAAACTGCCTGTGTTTTCAGGGCTATCAAAAAGCAGGAGCCCAACACTTAATAGTTTCAAATGGGTGGCCTTGAAAGGAAGCAAAGTGTCACTGCTGCCAGCTCACTGTTTGCCACTCCTGACTCCTGACCTGCCTCTTAGAGAGGGGAGGAGGCAATTAGGATGGGAGAGTGGCAGTGAACATGCATTGCAATGGTGAGGCCTTTTTCAGTGTGATGATGGGACAGACCAGCTGGATCTGTAAGTAAAAAGAAAAAAAGAAAAGTGGGAAGAAGTGATATGAAAAGACTGGAGGGGAGAGGAAGAGGAAAAGTAAGGAAATAACCTCAGATTGCTTCAGAAATGAGGAGGGACCCATGTGATTTTCCACTAGAAATGACCACAAGCTCATTTGCACTTAATCACAATACAGTTGTGTCTTGCATCTTTTATTTTTCCTGCCATGTCCTTCCAATGCTTTTAAAGCTCATGTCCAGACATCCTTAGATCAGAAATGATCCACAGACCATTTTTAGAGGACATGTCCTCGTGATCCAGTCGCTGCCTTGTCCTCAGTCTACTGGGATGGCAGCCAAACATTTTAGCTGTTCTGGTCTTATAAAAAGCATTGTCTTAATTTCTTCTGACACAGGTTTTGTAGTACAAACAATTTATGACATCCCATTCACTACCTTAATGATGATTTTGTCAGGGATCCTATTGGCTATTAATGGCCTCTGTGATCCCACCCTGCTCCATCACTGGACAGTGCTCTCCATCCCTTTTTGATTTGAGCTGTAGGAGAAGCCAGTTATCTGATTTTTATTTCTACATAATGCCAGATCTGTGCTTCACAAAGTGCCACCTGAAAGACTACTAGATTTCTTATTAAAGTATTTAAAGAGAGCTGCTTGAAAGGAAAAATTGGCTGCAGGTCAATTCAAACAGGGAAAGAAATACATTAATTGTTTTGTCCCAAATGAGTGCAAAGGAGTGATTAGTTCTGCTTGAGTTCAGACCACTATTCCAGCTATGTATCTAATCACTGCCATAGCCAAGGAGTTAATTGCCTTGATGGTATTTCCTCCACTGAGTTTTGACTTTAGATTTTCACTCTCGTGATATATTTACTTCTAACCTTCTTCTTGACTTCAGTGTGATTGATGCTGTCAGCTTCAAGGATGACCAGGTGATCTTCATCCAGACTCTTGATGTTATTTCCATAGGGCATCTTGATTCCTTCAGTTTTCTGTATTTTCTCCTGTTGATGGTAAGAGTGGCACATTTGTCCAGTTCAAACTCAGTTTCAATATCTTGGCTGCTTTATGCAGTGTTGAGCAGTGATTCTATTTCAGATGGTGTTTTTCCATACAGTTTCAGATCATCGATGTAATGAAGATACAGAATAGCCTGGCAGATATTTTCAGTGGCAGTTTGGTTGACAAGGGAAGCAGTCCAATAGCAAACAATCATGGTGGTGATAGTGAATCTCCTTGAAAGATCCCTTTTTTATATACATATTAACCTCTCTCAATCACCATTGATTAGCAGCCCTGTCTTCCATTGTGCCATTGATCTTTGCACAGAGTTTCTGATGTTCTACAGACTCCTATTATTTCTAGGAATTTGATTATCCAATCATGTGGCAGGCAGTTGAATGCATTCTTCGAATCAATCCACCCTACCTTCAAGTTGGTCTTCTTTCTCTTACACTTTTCTAAAATCATTTTGTCAGGAGCTGATCTTTTGTTACTCTGCTATTAGGGTAGTTTCCTTTCTGCTCAGGTGGAAAAAGC